ACACCTTTATACCCCTTTATTACGATATGTGTACCACCTTTATGCCCCTTTATTACGATATGTGTACACACCTTTATGCCCCTTTATTACGATATGTGTAGACACCTTTATGTTTGTTCCTTTATTAAATGTGTACACACCTTTATACCCCCGTGTACACATATCGTAATAAATGTACACATATCGTAATAAAGGGGCATAAAGGTCGTATTTATACTCTTTCATTTCGAGAGAAAGAGAGAGTTAAGACTACTCAGATTAACAGCTGAATTCAGCATTCAGATTTCCTTCAAATCATTGAGCTGTGAAGTTGGACCTTAAAATTATAATGAAGTGTGTGTGTGTGCACATCTAAGAACTCAACCAAGCCATTTCCCACACCCAAAACATGTAAATTTATGATTCACTGGGTGAAAGTTTTTATTGTTTTTTTTAACCATCGAACAACTAGGATGGATGAGAGCTGACACTAATCGAATCTATAGTTTTCAGTTTATCAAGATTTTGTTAAATTTTTCATTTCGACAATTTTATTTTATTTGTTTATTTTTTGCAAGTGCTTGCAAAGGTTATATCATATTATACTTGCTTGGCTTGTAAATGTTATGTCCACCTCTTAAGCATTAACAACCAATCCTGCTTCACACTGATATCATCTCAAACTATAATCAATTTCCCATTACGTGTGCATAACGTGAAAGTGCTTTTAACATTTCCCTAACAAAAAATAATAAAACAAAGTGCACGTTCTCTCTGTATTGATACAGATATCGCGTGCGTTAGATGATAGGGGGTAATAAAGGGCACTCTTGCGAAAGTCATAGGGAGATCCATAAGTATATGAAACTCCTTCAAAGTTGAATGGAGAGAATTAAGTCGCCCCCACCCCCACCCCTCCGGAGAAGTCTACCTTAATAGATATTTATTCATTCATTCCACGTTATCAATTTTTGCCTCTCACGTGCACTCGTAAATGAGCATTTTATTGCACCATAGAACTTTAAAGTAGATCACGATAAAAATGTCAGAAAATAAAAGCTAATAACAATATTTGCTATGAGTAACACTCTGAGAAACGTGTGTCCATGTTGCCCGTTTTTAAGTGGAAAACGTGTCCATTAGAAAGTTTCGTCACAAGTTTGTTTGTTTTTAATTAATTATGCACAAAGCTACACAAGGGCTATCTGTGCTCTGCCCACCACGGGTATCGAAACCTGGTTTCTAGCGTTGTAAGTCCGAAGACATACCGCTGTGCCATTGGGGGGCTCGTCACAAGTCAGCACTAAAAACAACAATGAAATGCACTTATTTTCAGATACAACGACGTATTACGTACTCTATATGTAAAATAAATCGCTTGTTCGTAGAAAACAAGTACTTCACGTGACTGTCTTTATTCAAAACTCGCCTATTGATGCATTAGTCTAAAATATAGAACGCCCAAACAACAAGAAGCCAAATTTATGGCAGGTATGCTGTATTGATATCTGCAACTTTCTTTGTAAGATAAGCTTCATGTAAAACTTGCAGTTTTTATGAAAGGTCACGTTGTAAATAGAAGCTTAACAATACCAGAGTCGCATATACGACGCCCTAGTAACCTGTGTAACGTATATACAATATCCCAGCAACTCCCAAGTCGCATATACAGTCTTAGCAACCTGTGTAAACGACATACAACGCCCTAGTAACCTGTGTAACGTATATACAATATCCCAGCAACTCCCAAGTCGCATATACAGTCTTAGCAACCTGTGTAAACGACTTACAACGCCCTAGCAACCTGTGTAAACTACATACAACGACCTAGTAACTTGTGTAAACTATATACAATATCCCAGCAACTCCCAAGTCGCATATACAGTCTTAGCAACCTGTTTGAACGACATACAACGCCCTAGCAACCTGTGTAAACTACATACAACGACCTAGTAACTTTGTAAACTATATACAATATCCCAGCAACTCCCAAGTCGCATATACAGTCTTAGCAACCTGTGTAAACGACATACAACGCCCTAGCAACCTGTGTAAACTACATACAACGCCCTAGCAACCTGTGTAAACGACATACAACGCCCTAGCAACCTGTGTAAACTACATACAACGCCCTAGCAACCTGTGTAAACTAGATAGATACAACATCCCGGCAACTACTACGTCACACATACAAGGTCCTAGCAACCTGTGTAAGCTATATACAACGCCCTAGCAACCTGTGTAAGCTATATATAGAATTTCAATGACTACAAGGTCGCGTAGAGAACTACGCTAATGTATTGAATAAATTGCATGTTTTTTTTTTCATTTATTGTGATTATTTTTTATTCCATTTTTTTTTTTCATTTCGAAGGAACGAATTTTGCAAAAAAATCTTGAGACATGTATATATACATATTTATATTTCTTAAATTAAACAACATTTTATTTTAATTTTTAACATTTTCCAACCTTAGGTTTTCCTGCTTATTGTACTATGATAAAGATAATAAACAAGGAAAATTCTCTAATAATCCTCCTGTTGGTAAAAGACGATACTATCACAGGTGCGTCACAGTAAAGCTGTTGACCTGTAATATAAGAATATAAAGAAATTACCAAAACGATGTTGTTGTTTCATTGCTAATGTTTTGAAAATTACTTAATTATATTTTTAGAATAAAATACTATTTTCTGAACATTAGAACATGAAATAATATTATTGTACTATTTATGTTTTCAAATAGTCGAATAAAAGGAATGAAGTACAGCCAATATTTAAGGCCTTACGTCAGAATGTCGTCACCAAGCTGGGTGATCCCCGGATGTGGACTGCAGAAAATTTTACAACTTCTGATGTTCAGGATCTCCTTCTGACAAGTTGTCCGAGCATTTTGATGAACATACAAAACAAATCATTAATTCAGAATGTGTGAGTAGATAAAAATACTATTACTGATCTAATTAAAACACTTTTTCAATGCTTTTAATTACTCGATCAATAGTCAGGTGTTATAACATAATATTTTTACGTGTATTGTTTTAGCATAACAGCCTCTTCTGGACAGAACATAAGACCAGAGATTACTGCTGCCCTCTCACGGATAAAGCTAAGAATGCATGGTGATCCCGGGATGTGGAATTCAACATACCTGACAAGTGAAATGAATGATATTTTCCAAAACATGCTTCCCTGTCAGGTGGTGCAGATTAATGGTTCTGCTGTAAGTTTTGACTGTAAATACTTCAAAAAAAATTGTAATAATGTTTTATTGTTCGGTGTAGGCCGGCATGGCCAGGTGGTTAGGGCGCTCGACTCGCAATCTGCGGATCGCGGGTTCGAATCCCCATCACACCAAACATGCTCGCCCTTTCAGCCGT